ACTTGTACCCTGCTGTAAATAGCACTTTCAGAAAATCAATGTCACAAAAGTACACATTGCATAACTGCAACCACACTACAGTACAGAAGAAACCATAAAAGCAACAGGTCACAAAGAGGCAAAATGCAACCATCTGATGCGGTAAAACCCAGCAACCAAATAGGTCACCCAAAGAAACAAGAGAGCCTTTACTTGGCACCTAAAATATAACAATAAAGTTCTCAAGTGGGTCGCTGTGAGCCACTGGACTTTCACAACCAGAACAGGCCATGTCCCTGGTGGCCAGACAGGCGGTGGCATCTGGAGAAGACTGTCATTGAAGAATTTAGCTCCTGGGTTGTTTCATAAGAGAGTAAGGATCCCCCAGGTACCCTCATGGTTCTGGACCAGGGTTGGGCAGGAGGTAGATCTGGGTCTACTGGTAGATCTCTGAGTGATTGGCACTAGATCTGCAATAGTTTCTTGCTACTAATTTTTTGAATAAAAAATTAGGCTGCTGAAATGAGGAAAGCTAACCAGGAGTTGATTTCTGTTGGGAAAGACTGATCAGGTTCAGGTTCAGAATGTGTCCAGAGGCACCTGTTCTTTTACACTTGGCTCTGGTTGGTAGATCCTAGGGTTCTGGGGGGGGGGGGACCGTAGTTCCAACAAACTTGAACTCTGCCCACACCTGTACTAGACAACTTATGGCTTTATAAATAAAAACAAGCAGGAAGCCACATGGGTGGTATGGACATGAAGGCAACAGTGGCTATTTGGGAGAGGAGAGCTCTGGGTCACCAGGGAAGCGAATTGGGATTCAGTTTAGGCCAGACAAAAGGAAACACTTCTTGGCCTAAAAACAAAAAAAAATTGTTTATGGGAATTGGCACCTACCCAGCTGCTCAGAAAACTGAGGCAATTTTTGAAGAGTGTTTTTTTAAAAAAAGAAATCAAGGGGTGTATCAATTTTATTAAATAAATAAATAAATAAATAAATAAATAAATAAATAAATGTATGTATGTATGTATGTATGTATGTATGTGGAGATGACCCCTGAGTTTCAGAGGCTTGCTTTGGCAGGGCCATGCTACAAGCTATAGGTTCCTCGGGTGCTCATTGATGTGCAAGGGAGTGATGAGGTGGAGGGGCCCTTTCAGAAAAACCAGAGGGGGACCCCGTTCCTTTCCTAGCTGGCACTGAGGTAAGGGAAAAAAGACAGGGCTCCCTTCTTTTCAGTGGACGGCACCTGGCAAATTGTAGTGAGCGCTGCTTGCTTGCCTGCCCGCCTTTCCCCTGCCGTGTCTGAACAATGGAAGGAGACAAATGGGATTCCTCTCTGAAGAATCACCCTTTTCCTTGCAGCTCCAGGTGCTCCAGGTGCAGAAGCAGCACCTGCCCATTGATGCATCCGCTGAATGGCCCTGCCAACAAGCCAGCCAACCCAGTGGCTCTGCTTCGCGCGCGGTGGTGGTGGTGGGGAGATCCGCTTTTCAGAGTGTTTCAGACAATTTATAATTATTCCACTTCAGGAGCATCAAAATCTCGGAGCTGCTCACATGTCCTACACATACTGATCCGTATTATTAAAGGAAAGGAAAGGAAAGATCCCCCAATAGGTGGTTGATAACGTCGGCGCACGTGTAGTTGTTCTTTTCAAACCACACTTAAAGTGATCAGAGATGCGCCTCTTTGACGCATCATTAGGGTTCGCGCAAGAGAACTGCACAGTGGAGTCTATACGGAGGAGCCAATTCCTAGGGGCCGAAATCCCTTCAGCCCCCCCTTAAATATTTGAGGTGGCCGTCCTCCCCCAAGTTGATGGGCACTGCCATTCAAGTGGTGTACGTGCGCCAAGTCTTGTGATCGGTTAGGCAGGGCGGGACTTACCTGCCGTCCCGTCCTCCCAACGTTTTAGTCAATTCTTTATTCTTTGCTCTGAGATATATATATAAAAGTAACAGAAAGGCGACAAATACTTATTGTTGCTTTGTTTTTGAACAAAGCTCGTTCACTTTGATGAGGGCTTGGTGAGTTTCTGAATCCCTCCCCCGTCCGAAGTGGCCCCTTCCTTGCGCACGAACCCAAATACTGTAGGTTGATTTTGGAAGTTAAGTCCACCTGAATGCATGGGAGATCAAGGAGCGAGCCAGCCAGGAAGTTCTCGATTGGTGCTCGGGAAGGGTCCGCGCCAAGACCCAGCCTCCTGCCCTCTAAAACCGCCGGGAAAGCATTGCTATAATAGGGTGACTTCTGACTGAGATCGCGCGCCTGCGAAGCGCTTTGAAGGGAAGAAAGCGCTAATGCCACATTCGAGGAGAGTTCGCTTTCCAGTGGCATCCTTGCTCACACGAATGCCATCTTTTAAACAAGAGAGCAGACATTTCCCCATTAAAGCAAACCCTGGATCGCTTGCTCCTTTCATCCGAGAAAGCTCCAGCATCTTTTCCATGCGTAGCCTTGATTCTGGTAGTACTTCCCTAGGAATAATAAAAAAAGCGCCTTTGAGCAATACATTTCCTGCTCGGCGACAGCAGCTCTTGATCATAATTCTGGAATAGACTACCAGACCTGCCTGAACAGCAGGCCTTCATCTTAGACCAAAGGAGGGGGCCTTGTGGCGCTGCAGGTGACACTGAACTCCATCTCCCATCAGCACCTGTCCGCCCGGCAAATGGTCAGGGACGGTGGGAACTGGAGTCCAGCGACACCTGGAGGTCATCCGTTTCCCCAACTCTCCTTGAGAGCTTACATGCTTTAGTGCGGGATCCAGCCAGAACGAGGTACTTTGAAGGCCTCTGATTTGAAAGGGATGGAACGTTTCTCTCCTGCTGAAACAAGAGGGCATTTCAGCTGCTTCTGGCGGAAGAGAGGGCACTGCCTGCCGGCCCACCACAGGGTGCAACTCCACGCTAAGCACTTTCAAGTCCCACGGAGCCTTTGCACGCAGAGAGACGCCCAAGTCTCCCGCTGAAACGTGCGGGACGATGGCGCAGCTCCGAAGCGCATTCCCGTCCCGACAATTTCAACAGAAATTGCCGGGGGAGTCACGCTCTGTAGACGCTTCCTGCGTTCCTAGAAGCCAACAGAGTTGACTGTGGCGATCCTGGAGCCTCGGGCCCCTTGAACGTCGCCGGGCTAAGGTCTCCGTGAGGCCGACCTGCCGGCTCAAAGCTGGTTCCCTCAATCCGCTGAAGCCCTTTGCTCTGGGGTCGCCTGCCCGTTCCTTTCTTCGTGCGCGCCCGCTCCTTCGCTTGCGCTCGCTGCCAAGGCGCCTCAGTGCGGTTGGCCGACCGAGTCCCTGCCAGTCTTTCTTCAGCGGTTCGCCTGGAACATTTCGCACTAGCCCAGCTGGGTGACTTCGAGGCGGTTTGTTTTAGTTACGAAATGTTGGCGATGGGTCACCCTTAGGGTGCCGGGTACACCTGGCGAGCTCCTGCTGGCCGCCTGCTCTGAAGGCAGGTCGGGGGCGGCGGTGGATGCCCAGGGCGCGAGGCCCTTCCGGATGGCCAGGAGCGCAAGGGGGCCGCAGGAGAACTGCTTTGCTGCTTCACCAAAGGGCCGCGCTCTGTTTCTGACGCCATTTCCTGTTGGTTGTCCAGAGCAGTAGGTACTCAAAGATATACTGCTCCTGAGCGCAGAGGTTCCATTTTAGCTGTCACCGAACCAATCAATCTTCTATTGAAATCTTTAGCAGAGTTAGAACTGGGGAAATGAAATGCCTTCCTTACGACCCCCGCCCGCCCTTTATGCCAAGCGAATAGTTTGGGAAGTGGATGGGAATGATTATGGCTAGGCCAATGTGATTACTATCAGCCTAGTTCCTCTGGAAGTTTTGAAATCCAAGCATTTCAACCGAAGTCGAAAGTATGGACTGTGGCTGCCGGAGTTTTCCTTAGTTACCTTCTGAAGAAACAGACCATGGTTAAAGCATCAACTTTATTTCTTTTCTCTGCCTATGGTGCGATCCAATCTAAGGCATGGACTTTTCAGTCCTATTGATTTCAATCCTATACATTCTATACCTTCCAATAGGACCACCTGCTAAGTGTGCATAGGACTGCGCAACCTTAAGCAAGCGTCTAAATCCCCACAGTAATCAACGAACTATGTGCCTGGCTTGACTATATTGTATGCATACATACATTTAAAGCATTTCTATTCAACCTCGCAAGTTCCTTGGAGGAAGATGTTTGTTGTGATTGTTGATGACGATCGTAACATAAAATCCCTAGATATATAGGGTCAGCCCCCTCTGAGCAATCCACCGCAAAACATGAAAGCAACCGTAGAAAGGTTCTTCAGCAGCACGGCCTGGAGGCGTGCGGATGGGTGAACTGGAGCACTGAAACTATCCAAGTCAGTAGGAAACCGGGAGGTAGTCCTTCCAAATTCATGACCAGGGTATAGCATAAGAAGGTGATTTTAGTCCCAGAACACGGGGGCAAAAAGCCTCCCCCCAGGTTGCGCCCACGGGTGCTCAAGGGCAGCAGCCGGCGTCTTGGCGAGGAGAGCCCTAGGTGGGAGCTGATTATTCAAATCGCCTGCCTAGGACCTGGGGATTGGAGGCTAGCCTGGCCTCTGGCTGCTATATCACTCCGGCACCCACGTCACTGCACCACTTCGTTTCCTCCTCCTCCTTCCACCCTCCTCCTCCTCCTCCTCCTCGCCTTCGCCTCCGGGCAACTCTTCTCAGCGAAACCCACCCAAGCAGTAGTAGTAGCAGCGGCAGCGGCAGCAGCAATAGCGGGCAGGGAGAAACCCCACGCAAAGCGAGCCCACCCTCCCCCTCCCCCAACACACACATAGAGGGAGGGGGAAGAAGGAGGGAGGGAGGGAAGGAAGGAAGGAAGGAAAGGGGGAGGGAGAAGGGAGGGAGGGAGAGGGAGAGAGGGAACGAGGCAAGGAGAAGGAGGGAGGGCTATCGAGGAGGGTGTTTTCCTTTTCTCCCCCCCTTTTTTTTGGATTGCTCTCTCTCCCTCTGTCGTCGCTTGTTGTGGCTGTTAAATTTTAAACTGCCATGCACTCCGCTTCCAGTATGCTAGGAGTCGTGAAAATGGAAGGACACGAGCACACGGAGTGGAGCAACTACTACGGCGAGCCGGAGGTAAATGGCAACTTCTGTCTGTTTGCGTGGGTGGGTGTCTCTCTCGCTCTCTCTGTTTGTGTGTGGGTCCCCCACCCAATCCCCAAGCCTCCTCCTCCCGCTAAAAAACAGGACTCTCTCTCTCCCTCTCGCCCTCTTTTTATACAACACTGTGTTAGCCTTGAGATAATATTAACTTTGTGATCAAATATTGACTTGCGAAGCCTCCAAATCCTTTGCCATGCCTAGCCGCGCTATCCTAACAAAGTTGTGTTTGGCAGAGAGAGGTTGGGGGGGGGGAGAGGATGGGCGTTTGAGGGGGGAGCTATAAGGAACCAGGGGAAGAGGGGGCGCATTTATTGCTCGAAATCTCGCCCTGGGAAGGCTCGGAGTCTGGGGGCAAATGAAACCCAAAGCCGGACAAGAATTCTTTCTTGAATGAGAGGAGCAAAGCTTTACGCACAAGCTCCCGCCGCTCTCCAGGCTGCGTGCCTCCTTCCTTTGCTCCAGAAAACAGCCGGGTCTTGACAACCGAGATCTTTTCCCTCCTTGAGTCAAATCCCATTTCAGGTTCCCTCCTGGAGCCGTCAGCCCCATTTTTACCCTTGGATTTTGAACAGAGCCCCCACGCCGATTTCCATGGCGTTTAATTCTGCCTAGGGCTGAGGTCTTGACCCCCGAGTGATTTCGATGCAATCATCCCCCGCAGTAAAGAAACAAAGTTGTCGGAAGATCACGACGGATATTCCCTAGTCAGTGTATGAGAAATTCGGGTTGAAATCGAATCCTACCGAAACGAAACACAAATTCTATCGAGTCGTTTTGATGGACCCGGCTTCTGTTGGGTTAAGAAACTATAACACAAGTGACTTGGGAAGTAAATTGCATTGAAACCCAAGAGAATCACTAAGGATTGGAAACCGAAAAGCTTCGGGGGAGTCAGATATGGGGGTCTGAGGCTCTAATCCTCTGCGCGCTTAGCTGGGGGTGAGTCCCGCGAAACACAGTGGGGTTTACTTCTGAGTAAGGAAGCATAGGATTGCACGGTTAGACCGGGAAAGTGTGTGCTTTCTGGTAGATTTGCATTAGCACTTGGGTTTTAACAGGAACAGTTCCCCAGCCAACAAACAAGGAAATATTTTAAACACCCACCTGGGTCCCCCTTTTCTTCCATCGCAATAAGAAACACGCTACTTGGGCAAAGGCTCATTAAAGACAACGGGAATTTTTAAAATGAGGGTGCAGGAATACTGTTATGACCAGACTGGTCGACTTTCTCCTGTGGCATTAAGGTCCAGATCCTAACAGGTGTTGTTGCTGTTTTGTATGCCATCGATTTCACTGGGACCTGTATCAGCTTAGCGCATTTGGGATCCAAGTTTGCAATGCTTGGACCCCTATCCTAACCATAGACACGATCGAGTCTAAGTTAGGCGCTCCCCCTGCCCCTTTTTAAATTGTATTTGGCGAGATTTACAAGCCGATCCTCTCCCGTGTTTAAGGTAAAGATAAAGGGACCCCTGACTACTAGGTCCAGTCGTGACCGACTCTGGGGTTGCGGCGCTCATCTCGCTCTATTGGCCAGGGAGCCGGCGTAGAGCTTCCGGGCCGTGTTTACTCGGATGTAAATCTGACCGGTTTCAATTTAACTGCCCCCCCCAGATTCAAGCACCTGCTGTAGCCTTCCATTTAAATTCAAGGGGCCCAAGACCGTTACACCAAAGAAAGCTCCCTCGAAATGCGCCGTGGTTGGGGCTGAGGGCTGGGTTGCCCACGATCCCGTGGCCAGGGAGTTGGGGGTCTCGGGTGGAACGACCCGTGGGCCACCTCCACTAACCGCTGGGCTCCCCGCTCTTGTCGCCTTTGCAGGGTTACTCCACCATGAACGCGGGGCTGGGCATGAACAGCTACATGAGCATGCCCCCCATGGGCACGGCGGGCAACATGACGACGGTGGCCTCCGGCGGCTCCATGGGCATGTCTTACGCGGCCGGCCCGGCGGGCATGAACCTCTCTCCGGGCGCGGGGGCCATGGCCAGCATGGCGGCGCACCTGAGCCCCAGCCTGAGCCCGCTGGGCGCGCAGGCCGGCTCGATGGGGGGCGCGCTGGGCGCTTACTCGGCGCTGAGTCCCGTCGGGGCCGGCGGCAGCGGCGCGTACGGGCAAGCGGCGGGCCTGGGCCGCTCCCGCGACGCCAAGAGCTATCGCCGGAGCTACACGCACGCCAAGCCGCCTTACTCGTACATCTCCCTCATCACCATGGCCATCCAGCAGTCGCCCAACAAGATGCTGACGCTGAGCGAGATCTACCAGTGGATCATGGACCTGTTCCCTTTCTACCGGCAGAACCAGCAGCGCTGGCAGAACTCCATACGCCACTCGCTCTCCTTCAACGACTGCTTCCTCAAGGTGCCGCGCTCGCCGGACAAGCCGGGCAAAGGCTCCTTCTGGACTCTGCACCCGGACTCGGGCAACATGTTCGAGAACGGCTGCTACCTGCGGCGCCAGAAGCGCTTCAAGTGCGACAAGCCGCCGGGCTCCAAACAGCCGCAGCAACAGAATCAGGGCGCCTCGCCTGCCTCGTCCGCGGGAGCCCCGTCGCAAGGCAAGAAGGCGGCCTCGCAGGCGCCGCAGGAACGCGACCTGCCCAACGGGGCTCCGGAATCGCCGCACTCCAGCGCCTCCCCTTGCCACGAGCACAAGCGCGCCCTGGCCGACCTGAAGGGCCACCCGGAGCCCGCCCCGTCGCCGGCGCAGCAGCAGCAGCACCTGCTGGCGCAGCATCACGCCCACGCGGGGCTCTCCCACGAGGCGCACCTCAAGGCGGAGCACCATTACGCCTTCAACCACCCCTTCTCCATCACCAACCTGATGTCCTCCACAGAGCAGCAGCAGCAGCAGCACCCCCACCATCCGCACCATCCGCACCAGCACCACCCCCACCCGCACCACCCGCACCACCCGCACCACAAAATGGACCTCAAAGCCTACGAGCAGGTGATGCACTACAGCAGCTACGGCTCGCCGGTGCCCGGCAGCCTGGCCATGGGCTCCGTCACGAACAAAAGCGCCCTGGAGACCTCGCCCTTGGCCGGAGACGCCTCCTATTACCAAGGGGTCTACTCCAGGCCCATCATGAACTCTTCCTAAAGGGCACCCCACCCTTCGGCTCTGCCCACCCCCTAAGGGCCAATGCCCTCTTTCTCTCCCCAGGACAAACCCGAGACTTCTCTGGGCAGGAGGAGATCTGAGATATGATGTAGACTTTCGAAAGAATCCAAACGGTGCCCAAAGCCAGGTCAGTTTATTCCACGGCGTCGCCTCCCGATCCCAATCCATATCCAAAGCCCATCGGACTCAAACAATCCGGTGGCCTCCACCCACTACCTGGGAGCTCCGGCGCCTTTGTATCAACTAAAGATTCTCTAGCCCTATTTTTTAAATGAAAAAGACAACTTTCTATGAGGAGCGCACTGACCCCACCTCTCCCGCGCACCACTTTTGGCAAAGAATCCTGGACTTCGCGCCCCGCTCCTAGTTTTGAAAAGGCTCCAGTAATATTTAATCGACGTTTGCTGTTGTGTAATTTAAAGCTCCTTTTTCTTCTACTCTTTTCTCGCCGGCGTCGGGAAAACAGGATTGATCTCCAACAACCGTGGGGCGTGGAAAACATCCGCGGGCTCTTGACCACCGTCACTTTTCTTCAGACACCGATTTAAATTTTATATGAGTTGGAGGTTTCCTTTCAGGAGTCTCCTTGTCTGTTTCTTTATTTTGTTTGTTGCGGGGAGTTATAAATATATCTATTTTTGGGTGTGAAAGTGACACAGAAATAAGTGTGTGTGTGAACCGGTGTTAGATTTCAAAACTGAGGATCAAAAAGACTGTAGCGTTGTGAACTCGGGGGAGGGGGGGGTACCCAAAGATGGACTTTAGATTGTAATCTGACACAGGAAGTTTTGATGTTACCGGGAGAGTAAAGGACTCCGATCGAATTAATTTATCGTTTTTGTACGCTTTATTTATGGTTTATAGATGTGTATTCTGGTAAGGACCGACCAAATTCTCACAAACCATATATTAAATTGCTGTTGGAGATTTTTTTTCCCCCTTTCTTAACTTAAACAATAATACCTGTCTGTTATTTTCTAGTATAATGCAAAGAGATGCGGGAAAGATAAGGAACTAATTTTAGCTCTTGATATTGCTTGCCAGTGGGCTTACTGTGCTCAGAGTAGGCCCCCTCCAAGATGGCCTGTATGAATAACATGCGTATTTAAAATGCACATATGAACCTGGAGTATCGTGTTTCATACATCATCAAATCTTGTTGGCACGCTTACCATTCCACGTCTAAACTGTGAATAAGACTGCAACCTTACTCCCAAATATACACTTTATTCTCAAGTAAAGACAGAGCTGAATCTATGGCAAATCTTTGCCTGATATGCACTAGATTCACAAGCAGTTTGGTTTCAGACTCCCAACTGTTTAGCAGAATTACTTCCCGCTTCGTCCAAAGTAAACTGCTGAAATGAAGGGGGCTGGGGGGTTGTTTTGGGGTTGTGCGAAAGGACTGTGAGCTCAGCTCAGTTCTGATACTGCAGACCAACTCCTAGGCCCGGAATGGACTCAGAGGCACTAGAATCTGGTTGGTAGATCTTGGGATTCTAGTAAAAAGCAAAATAGATCAGAAAAGCCTAAAGTCTGCCAACTCCCTGAGTTGCAGCCCATGGAAGTCCTAGGACAAGTCGGACTGAAAATAGGGGCTTTCTTGTCGGCAAAGGATGGACAAAAAAAATGACAAAAAAAAAAAATACTCCAGCCTTGTAATGGGTTGAACTAGAATGACCCACGTGGTCCCTTCCAACTCTACAATGCTATGACTGTGTGACCGGGTTGTTAGGCTCTCAGTCGAGGCCTATATATATAGATGCTGCCTATTCTATGTATGTATATTATTGCTTTGCCTACTTGACTTTAAATATTGCTTTGTTTATTTGACCCTGTGAACATTACTTGATAGGAAAACCCATCGGTTACCTTACACATTTGCAATCGGGAAGGCTCCCACGAGTTATACTTGCCTAGACATCCCCGCCGACTCCCGTCCACGACTAGGATTGCAACCTCTGTTAAAAGGGGTATTCTCGACATCTGGGCATCATGATAATAGTGGAATCATTTACATAATAGCACAGTATTCAGCCAAAGTATTTTTATGACTCATTGATTTCACTTATAATGTTAACCGCATATCTCATTCAATCTCCGGCCTTAAAAGTGCTTCATCTTTGACTGTACCTGATATTCAGCCTTGCCTTCCACACAATCGCAGCCAATATAGCAATCCTGAAGTACAACTGCTATTAAAGCCACATTACCATACTCCACGCGGGAGGTGGCGGCTTGAAAAGCATAAATCATTGGTTTCAGTGGGTCTACTCTTGAGTACGAGGAACGTTGACTATCACCCACCGAGACTACTCTTGCCTTTCAGAATGAACTAAGCGTGGCTTGCTAGAACCTTTCTCTGCATCAGAGAAAGCGCATGAAGCCTCAAGTGCCGAGTGGAAACCAAAACACGCCTGGTTGGGTTAAGAGTTTCGGGACTTTTAAAACAAATTGGCTAGATGGACTCGAATTCTAGCTTCTTTTTCTTTAAAGATTTGGGTTCTAGCTTACTTGAAACGCAGTTAGCAAGAAGGACGGCTTTAACCTTATGCTGGGCAATTCGGAAGTTGTTTGAAAGCTCGATGCTCCTATATTCCTCCTCTTCTGTCCGCCCTCCAGAGCCGTATTCACTGAGAAGGCCAGTCTTCTTCCTCTAAGTCGTCTTTGGATAAACTTCGGGGCTCCTCTTTGGAGACTCTTAGCGACGCGAGAACAGGGATGAGTAAATGGGATTCCAATCAGTCCCCATCCTGCTCATGCAGAAATCTGCGCACAACACACGCGCAACAGTGACAACACATACACACGAGAGGCCTTGCCTGTGGCAGGAGCTGGTCAGAAGGCGAAGGGGAGTTACGAGCTTCCTTTCGCTTGCCGAGTCCAAATGAAACTCAGTCGGCAGAGTGGATTTTCTCGACTGACTACAAGCACTCTCGCCCAGTCCTGTGGTGGACGGTGGTGGATCTCGAACCAGTTCTTCAAAGGTAGCCAACTATATTCTTCCCTTTCACACCGATCCTGAAAACAGTTGAAAACGGTAAGTTTAACTTCGGAGTATTGTAAGAATTTAATTGATTTTCAGTGAAACTGATGCGCGTCACCTTATGCATATTTTACTCAGGAGTAAGGTCTTCAATGGCCTTTGAATATCTTATGATACTTACTTGGAAGTAAGACCTATTGAATTGCGGAGGACTTACTTCTGAGTACGCGAGCTACGCGTTGTGCCGCACCTCTAGCCGGGCTGCGGCGCCATTGCTCAGAAGGCTCATCCGGAAGGAAGACATTTGATGCTAGTTCCCCCCTAGGAAGGGGGGTTTTGTGTTGGCCTTTCGAGAGCATAGCTTAGCAGGATCTCAAAGACGCAGCACTGAGCCTGGTTAGGAGGAGGAAGGCTTCCAGCGAAGGCTCACTGGATGGGGAATCGATCCACTTGGAATAAACTGGGCATTCTTCCCAAGAAGCAGGTGTAGGCTTCATGGGAACTAACCTCGGTTGAATCCCAAGGTTTCCAACTAGACTCAGGTAGAGAAGATGACCTGGCCAACGGAAGTCAAACAAAACTTCGTTTCTTATTTATTATTATTTACTGCATTCATATGCCACCTTGTCCTCCAAGGAGCTCAAGGTGGTGAGCATGGCTCCCCCCCCTTTAGCCACACAACAACCCTGTGAGGCAGGTTAGGCTGAGTGGGAGTGGCTGGCCCAAGGTCACCCAGGGAGCTTCACGGCTGAGCGAGGACTCTGGCCCTGGTCTCCCAGGCTATCGTCCAAGGCACTCACACTCCGGACCCCAAACGGCCGGTGGCGCATAACTCAATAGTTTAACCCCAGCCCTCTAGCACAACTTTAGAGTTTCTAAAGCAGTTCACATAATACTCTGTCTTGTAATCCTCACACCAGCTTGGCATGGTAGGTCAGTATTATCCTAACATCACAAGTTGCCACTTAAGGAATTCAGGGCAGAAATAAGAGGGGAGGTCCTCATCCCTACCTCAGGCTGCTCGGATATGAGCACTTACCGGGGAGTAAGGTCCACTGAATGTCAGGCAATTCGCTACCGAATAAACACGTATTGGTTGAGGGTTTTTTTGTTTTGTTTCTTTTTCTTTTTTGCTAGCCACTGTGCTCTGCCTCTGCCACATCTGTAGGGCGCGAGACTGATGTTCTGAGACATTTCACTTGGAGCGAGAACAAAAGGAGGAAAATGCAAAATCGGGCAGCCTAATGGATGGATGCACAGAGCGTACGGAAACCTTTACTCAGACGTCTACTTAGAAGTGAAGGGTTGGCTTTGATTCCGTTCATCATGTGACGACTTGCATGTGCGGACTGTGGCCTCCATCGGACCACAGCAACTCTTTCTTACCACCTCAAAGATTCCATTACATGCATTCAGGCAAGCGCTTGCGTGAACCCAGTTGAGATCTTCTTCCAATGCTCCCTGACTGGAGCTCAGATGAACAAAGGTTCTAAGCACAGTTACTCAAAGAGAGCGCCACTAAATATCATCGTCCACAAATAAGTGTCCTTTAAATCAGTGGGACTTGCTCCCAGATCAGTAGGTGAGTTTTTGAAGCCTTGGTCCCTGCAGTCTTTAGAGTTGCAAACTTATTTTAAGAGAGAGAGAAAGAAGAACCCCTTTCCTGAATTTGGTGAAACGTTCTTCGCGTGAATAAATACGATTTAGGACAAGGTGCTATTTTAATACACAATTGGCAACGTATATCCCCTTCCCACAGAACAGCCCGACCCCATTCGTGGAGTTCATTGGTACTTACCAGAAAGTCTTGCTAGGATTGTAGCCCATCCTGCCCTTTGCATGTTTGTTCAGAAGTTGGTCTGAACGCCATCAGAAGAAACATGCATAGAATTTCAGTTTTTAACGGAAATGAGTCGTCCTCCGAGTATTCAGGCTTAGGGCGCCGCGTAAATTCATTAAAGAGAGCGCTTCGCACAATGCAGTTCTGCTGAACGTTTGCATTCCAATCCTACATATGTCAAATCCCACTGAGTTCAATGGGTCTTCCAGGTAGGTACCGGTAATTATAGGGCTGGGAGTCTAAAGGTGGTTGGTTAAAGTGGGATGTATAAACAGAACATGTGGCTTTTAAACTGGATATGTTTAGGATCCGGAAACTCATTTCGCAGGGGGTCATTTGCTGCACGAATAAATGGATGGGAAGCAAATGAGAGCTCTATAGCAGCCTTCCAGCTTCCTCCGGAGTGCATTCTGAAAGATCAGTATCCGATTGCGTTCTCGCTAAAGGTTGTTTCATATACAACACTCACTTGCGGGTGAAATCCTTCCCTGACAAATGTGTGGGCGTCGGATTTCCCCATGTCAATCATAACTCGACTTTGGGATGAGACAGTGATGTGTGGCGCACACGAGAGAACGAACAGTAGTAGACTTGGTGCATAGAACTATTTCAGAAAAAGCATCTCCTTCCCAGGACTTGGAAGCTACATCTCTACTTGGAAGTAATTCTCACGGAATTTAATAAGATCGCCTTTTGGAAATAATCGTCTTCTTCGTCAGAAAGTGGGGAGGACAGCTTCATATTTGCGAACCTCTGCAAATCAAACACCACAGATTTAACTTTCCTAACCCCTGGAAATGTACCTCTATGGTGCCAGTCGAGACACGCCAGCGGCTGGTGTTCCAGTAGTCTTCCATAGTCTTCAAGTCGACTATGCATAAAGTCTGCTCTTAGCCTGTGGAGGATTATGACCGTCTTCTAGAAAATGCCATTGGGAGTAACTCTTACTCCAATCCAAAGCCTGCTCACACTTTTGCAGTACCACCAAATGTGACAGCACCACATGGATCCAGGTTGTTCTAGTGTACACCTCCAACATACAGAATCAAGTAATTTACAGATTTCCACCGCCATCACTTTTTAACTTGTGTGGAGTCAAATTTTCATTTGCCCTAGCCTCCCTAAATTATTATGAGCCACCCTGGCATAAATAGACAAATAATAACCTGTAATAGTTGTTTGTTTTCACCTTCCAATGCAGAGAGAACAATATACATATATCTGCCAGTAAACTTTCTGGGGAGTATGCCCCTACTTGTTTTAATTGACATCACCCTCATCATTAATCAATTTTGTATACTCCTCTGCTTCCAAAGATCACAGGGCAGTTCACAACATGAAAATACAAAATACACAAACAAACAAGCGCCCCTCCCACAAACACATTTTAAAAAACCATAGAGTGTTAATCAGCCCAAGGCCTGGTTGAACAGATTATTTCCCGTGAGGGGATGACCAGCTTCTTCTAAGTAACTCTGCTGGAAAGCTGACTATAAAGGAGAATTTGGCAGACCTTCAGTGGCTTAACCCAGTTGGTGCACAGGTTCCCTGTTTTGGGGAAGATTTGACATTTGAGTACTTCAGTTTTACTGCTGGAATTTTTGACTAAATGCAAAGCAGATGTAAATGACTTGACACCATGGACCCAAACTTGAGAAATACTGTAACACAGTTGCATTTAAACAAAACAAAAACCGGCCCATAAAACCACACCCGGCCCTCATAAATGTAGCCTTCCCGGGTGCTCCAGGCCTACCTGGGTGGCTGCAGCAAGCCATACCTTGTCAGGAAAGTGCCACTCCTACCTGGATGCTAGTTTGTGAAGTTTTGTATTTCCACCTGTGTAGTTGTTTGCCCAAATTTATAGATATTGATCTATAGATGTGGGTACATTTAAGGTAACTGTTAGAAATATGGTGAATCCTGATGTTCAGCAGAATGTCTTAGGACTGTAGAAGGCCTAGCCTGAAATGTGAGAAATATACTTTTTTTTTTTTTACATTTACTCCAACAATCTGGTTAATGCTCTTTTACCATGAAAGGAATGAAGGGAACATTCAGACTGAAGACTACTAGTAAATTTCTCTTCTGCCCCAATATTTGCCTGTCTATCCGTCATATCATATCAAAACTTTGGTCATCTGCACCTTAGTGATCACACCTCTCTCGACTCTTCCCTCTACAGGCCTCAGATTCAATCTGCAGGAGGCGACGCGATTGCTTTTTGAAATCCAAAAATAAATTAAAATGTGATCGCCAGTATTTTTCTCTAGAGCATAGAAAGCTGGCCCGTCGGCCAACCTTATTCCCACATTCTAATTTTATTAATTCAGGCTGCATCGTCGAAGCAGCTTTATTTGGATATTTATTTATTTAAATGAATAAATATGTATTTATTTAAATAAAATATCAACTGCTTTCGCTCCGGACAACAGTCTGTCCGCTCCTCGCCCACCCCCACCCTCCGCACAACGTTTATAGATTTAAGAAGTGATCTAAACTTGCGAATCCCTCTCAAATCCCCCTCATTGTTTTTTCGGGAAGACTGGGGGCCCCCAAAAGGCACCTTTTAAAAAACAGGCCTGTGGGTGGAGAGGACCCCATTCGGCCGCGCTTCCCCGCCGCCCGCCTGTGTCCCGCGAGGACACACACGTTGTGAAGCAAAGCGGAAAATGTGTGTTCATTACCACATAAAAGGCTCCCGTCGCGCAGAAGAATGGAGGCCTGGAATGGCAGCGATTGCGCGGACAATGGGACGCGAATGTGATGCTCTAACCTGGCCGGTCCCATCGCGCCTGCGGTCGTTTTAAACTACTTAGCTGCCTCCCACTCCGTTGATCCCGAGCGATAAGATATATACCTCTGCCAAAAGACCTTTTTAAAAAGGAAAAAAGAGAGGGAGGAATGTGTGCGCGCGTGTAGATGTCGTTTAGAGTCGAGGTCTCTTCTTTCCTCTTCGGCCGCCTTTCACATCCTCTTCACGCGTTAGATCGGGGTCGCTTTGCAAAGGACCACACGGTCTGCCTTCCTCATTCAACCCCACCTCCCGTTATTTTTTTTTGAACCGCTGGTGATTTAAGTCCCCGCCATCTGCGAATAGGCAAAACCAGTAAACTAACAACAACAACAACAAAATAAATAACTAAATATTTAACGCCAAATTCCAGGAGGGAAACTTCACGCAGCACGTCATTCTTCAGCAAATTTACACAAATATTAGGAATGCTTCTGCCTGTGTGTACGTGTGCGTGCATGCGTGTGCGTGTGTTTTCTCTGCTCCTTTCGAGCCATTGTGCTTAACTGAATTTTATAACGCTGATCGATATCTTGGTAAAATATTCATTTTTAAACTAGCGGGCAGTGAAATCTTTGCTTTGTGCTAAAGTCAACAGTCGCTCCAATAAATGCCGCGATGCCTTGCCGCCGAGCTGCAGTCAGCGGGGCGCCTGGGCTCGTCACCGTCGCTTCTGCCACCGGCAGCTCCGGGGCATCAGGTAGGGACTTTTAAGTTTGGAGGTGCTGGTGCGCGT